TTAAAATTTTTTATATAATTTTTTTAAAATATTTGGTTGAATGGAAAGATATCATATTTGGTCTATCTCTAATAAAAATAAATAATAATACAAAAATCAGTGATAATTAAATAGAACAAAATTTTATAATTTTAAAGTCATCTTATAAAATATATATATTTTGTTAATATAAAGCAAAACATTTAAGCCTTATAAATTAACACTTGGTACTTAGAATAATTTAGTATATAAAATATTTAGTTAAGAGTTAAACAGCCACTTTAACAGAACTTAAATTCTTTTTCAAATTAAATAATATTAAATTATTTTATAAAATAAATAAAAGATACATTATATTATAAATTTAAAAGAATTTTATTAAAATTGCTTTTTATCTTATCCTTTAATAATGTACTAAAAATAGAAAATTTGTTAATATATTTAAAAATTAATTAATATTTCTTCTTGATTTTTAATCAATTTTTACTGATAAGTGAGTTTTTCTTATTTCTTTTAATTATTAAGGTGATTTTCCTCTATATAAAAAAAGAAGCGGTTTTCGCATATTTAAATTTTACATCACAAAAAATATCTTTTTTTAATAAAAAAGCAAACCCCTCAGCCTACTTTAAGTAAGTCATTCCTCCAATTAGCAACCCCCAGTCGCATTGCGAAAGTTAATAGCCAAATGTCTAAGAAAGTTCAAAAAGAATTATTCGAAACTATCTCAAACAAAATCTTCAAAGAATGTTTAATTTAAAGGCCATCAATTAAGGAATTGGTTAAGTTGATCTTCAGCTAGAAAAAATATTTCTAAAATTTTGAGTATTTAAGCAGTGGCGCTTATTCTCTTGTCTTAAAGGCTTATAATTCTAAACAAAATCGTCAAGTTGCACTCAAATTTTTAGGGAGTTCAAATCAAGAAGATAATAATGGTATCGAATCTTTGAAAAAAGAGTATGAAATGCTTCAAAAGTTTAGCCAATCATAATTTTTAGTAAATGTTTATGATTGCTTTTATTTAATGGAAGAACAAGAAGATGATGGAAACGATATAATCGTTTAAACTGGAGTCAAATCCTTCTTTGTCATGGAAATGGAGCTTTGTGAGAGTAAACAAAAATCTCATTTCTTCATCCATTTTTTTTCTTTCATTTTTTTTAAACATTTGAAAATAAATTAAGATATTTTTATACTTTTTATTAACTTAACGTGGCTTATGCATCATCCTTTTAAAAATAGGTAATTTAATTTTTTTCCTAATTCTTTTTGATTTTGATTGCTTATTTAAAAAATAAATTCATTTCATTACTTTAGGAATTGCAATAAAAATTATATTATATGATAAAATAATACTAATTTTAACTTATTTTTAAAGAATCCCCACAATTAATATTTTTTTTATTTAATTTTATCAAATTTTGAAAATTTCCTTAATTAAACCTTCTAGAAAATTGATTAAATAAAATTTTATAATCTATTTTGCCAATAAAATAATTATAATTTTTATTAAATAATTTTATAAATTTTAATTTTTTTATTAATAATTAATTAAAAAATGATTTGATATTAAAATTTTAATTAATATAATTTATTTTAAATTAATAAATCAATCATTAATTTTAGCAATCCTCCAATTTTTTAAATTCAAAAATTTTTTAATTATTTTAAATAAATTTATTAAACTGAAATCATATTAATTTTAGTATTAATTAATTATACTAAATAGAATATGTAACTAATTAGTATTTCTTATTACTAATAATTTTGAAAGTTAAAATTTAAATTTTAATAATACCATTAAAGAAAATAAATTAAAAATTTAATAAAATTAAGTTAATAATTTAAGTAAAGAGAATATTTGAATTAAATTGTAAAAACTAATTTAAAATTAAAAGAATGCTTAACAAATTAATTAATAACAAACATCATTTTATTGAAATAATTTTAAAATAAATTATATCATTTAAATTCAATTAAATATTTTAAATTAAAAAAATAAATTTATAAAAAATTAAAAAACATTTTAATAAATATTTTGAAATTAATGAATTTAAATTTTATATTCTTCATTAAATAATGAATGACTTTATAGTATTATTTTTTTTAATTTAAATTTTTTTATACTAAACATATTTATTTTATTAAATATTAACTAGCATCACCTATTCATAATTAATTAAATTTTATAATTAACTAGAAAATCTCAAGTAGCTCTTTGAAATCCTCAGAAAATAATAAGTTCCACCTCCGAAATAGATGAAGGAAATAATAGCCATTCAAATGATAGAAGGTCTGAATAACCTTCACGTCAAAAATATTATGCACAGGGATATCAAACCTTAAAATTTCCTTGTTTGTCCTTCTGAAGAGTATGGTTTCTCAATCAAACTTTGTATTTAATCATTATTATATTTTAAAAATTTTTAATAAATATCTTTTAAATTTAGGTGATTTAGGCTTTGCATCGGCTGTGTCTAAATCAAAAAGCTTCATGTCTAAGGTTAAAAAATTAATTATTAATTTACTTAGTTTCAATATTTTTTATAATTTTCAGAAAGGAACTGATTCATATTTTGCTCCTGAAGTGGAAGAAGGTTAATCTAGAATTCAGGTTTTTAATAAAAATGTTGTATAATTTTTTGAATTTTTTCCAAATTAAATAGTCAGACCTCTTTTCACTAGGTCTCGTTTTATTAGAGCTAGACAATCTCAAGACTCTAAATGAAAATTGGATAGATACCAAAATAAGATATTATCTATTCAATGGAGAAAATATAACTAAAGAAAAATATTAGATAGATAAAAATTCTAATATTTACAAAATAGCTTAAATATGCTTAAAACCTAAGTATTTAGACAGGACTACGGCAGGAGAATTACTTACTTAACTCATCTAAATGCATGGTTAGCCATTAAAATTTGTATTGACTTCTATGATAATAAAGGTAATATATTATTTCATAGTTGATTTAAAAATAATCTAGAAGTATTCAAAAATGTTAGATTTCAATTTTTCCTCAAATAATTAAATTTTATTGTAAATCTTAATAAAATAGTTAAAAAAGCAAATAAAAACAAAAATACTTAATATTTCAAATAAATTGATAAAAATAAAAATATTGTTATCAGTGTTATAAAGTAAGAAATATTTATTTTTCTTAAAATTTTTTTTATTTTTAAATGAAAAACATTTCATCTAATCAAATAAAATTTTTGCTTTTCTTAGCAAGTTAATAAAAAAAAGAAATTTTATTTCATAACTGTTTTTTTTATTAGATTAATTTCATAAATTAATAAAAATTTATATTTTTTTATTTGGAATATTCGAATTCAATAAATAATTTTATAACAAAAGGAATAAATACCTAAATAGGCACAGTAAATATTTGATAGAATTAATCAACAATAAAAAGATATGGTAAAAATTATTTTTAGTTTAAATTTTTAAAATTAGAAATTAATGAAAATTATATGATAATTAATTTTAAAGCATAACTAATTTGACCAGCATGCTTAATAGATTCTAGATAACACAAATACGAAAATTAAACAAAAAGATTTTCAAGCACAATTTACAAAAGTGGAAGTATTATCTAATCTATTGAAAAGTCTCTATGAACATAAAAAATATTCTAATAACTTTCAAATTATTAGCTTTGGAAACTTTGGAATGGTATTAGCTACTAAAAAAGCCAAGCTTGACAACAAAGAAATAGTGCTAAAAATACAAAAAATAGAAGATGAATAACTAATCTAAAATGAAATTAGTATTATGCAGAAATTAAAAGAACCACTAGTGGTATAGCTTTATGATAGCTATATAATAGAAAATACCTTAGGAACGGATAGATATTCAGTCTTTGAATTAGAAAAATGTTCATGTAATTTATTAAATTGTTAATATAAATTTTAATTTAGGTTTCAACTAAATAATTAAAGCAGAATTGTTATCATATAAAAAACCAATAAATAAGAAAATATATTTTAAATGAAAAAATATTTAATTTGTTTTATAAATTTTTAAAAAATAAAAAAATTTAATTTATAAATTGTAAAATAATTTTTTAAATATATTTAATTATATATTACTGTTTATCTTGTAAAAGGTTCATTAGATGAATATCTTGAAAGATAAAACCATGATGGATAATTAAATGAAGATAACAAATTTTAAATAGCTATCTAAATTATAGATTCTGTCAATTATATTCATTAATTTAATATCATTCATAGGGATATTAAACCAGAAAATTTTTTGGTTTATTTAGATGGAAAATAAGCCGAAATAAAATTATGTAAATTATTTTTATTCATCATATATATTTGATTATCTTTTGAATTAAAGGTGATTTCGGCTTATCTGCTTAGATTCCAGATAATCAAGATTCAATTCAAACTATAGAAGTAGATTTTTTAATTATATTTAATAATCTATATTTTTTTAAAAATTTATAGCACATAGGAAATTTAGGATATTCAGCACCTGAAATATTAAATAAATAGGATAATGAACTTAAGTTTTATACAAAGAAAGTACTTTTTTATAAAAAATATTAACTTTTAAATTATTTTTTTATTTTAGTCTGATTCATATTCAGTAGGTTTATTGCTAGCTTTGTTAGATAATTATTAAGATCTAAAGACAAATACAACTTCAATTTTCGCATTAATGACGCAAATGTAGTTAGATAAGCCTTTCGAAAAATCTAATATTTAAATTACCAAAAATTCAGAAATTTATAAATTTATTAACCTTCTTGTTGTTTCTGATAGTGATTAGAGGGCATCTCTTTATGATATAGTAAAATAAAGCGATGAAATATTCTTTTCGAATTCAAAAGAAATGAAATAAATCCTACAAAAAACTCTTTTGATGCAAAATGATCAAAAAATAGAGCAAAATAAGACTATAAAAATTGATTGTTTAGAGGATTTGGATAAAATTTAAAATTACAATATTGTAACAATAAATTTAGGGTAATTTTTTTATTTAAATTTGTACTTTTAATATTTTATTAATTATCAATTTTATACTTTTTAAATTATTTTATATTACCATTTAATAATGAGCAATATAAAATTAAGTAAGTTATTTTTATATTTACTAATTTAAATAACATAAAAATTCTTTTTGTATTAAATAAATAAAAAATTTTTCAAAAATTTTTCATTAATATAAAAAATTTAAAATTAAATTTTCTTTTAAGCAGTCTCATGTTCAAGAAAATTAAATATCTATAATATTATTTATTTTCTTTCAAAATTTATTGATAAATTAATAATTTTATTAATAATATCTATTTAATAGTCTTGTTTATTTTTTGATTGTTACACAAATTTTACTTGTAAAGCAAATAATTTATGGATTATGACTTTCATATTATTAATTATTTTTACTCCTTCAAATCAAACTTAAATACTAACAAAAGCAGAAATATTTTTTACAATCCTTTCTCATCCAAATTTATTTTCTTAATTCATTATTTATTCTTATATTTAAAGCAATAATAGTATCAATGATAAGGATTTAAAAGATTTAAGCACAGCAATAGCATAATGCAAGAATATCACAAGTTTGGCACTTTATTTAAGGTAAAAACTTAATTTATTGATTGATAAAGCAAGAAATATAGAAATAATTTATTACTTTGTTGAAAAAAATTTTTTATTAAGTTATTAACTAATTAAGTCACTTCATTAGTTAATTATTTATTTATTTATTAAATTGCTTATTTACATACTTATTTATTTTCTACTCAACTAAAAAATAATTAGTTTGAATATTTACTCCTTCAAAAAAAAACTAAAATACTACAAAAGCAGCAATTTTTTTAAAAACTTTATCCTCCAAATTTATTTTATTATTTGATTATTTATTTTTATATATAAAGAAATAATAGTATAGGTGTATTGGGTGCAAAAGATTTGGGCACAGCAATAGCTTATTGTAAGAAAATCACAAGTTTGACACTTGATTTAGAGTAAAAACTTAATTTATTGATTAATAAAGCAAGAAATAGAAAAACTGATTATTTTATTGATTTAAGCTTTTTTCTTAGTGATTAGCTAATTAAGTCACTTCGTTAGTTAGTTAATTATTTATTTTACTAGATTGCTTATTTACTTACTTACTTACTAAAAAATAATGAATTTATTTATTTACTCCTTCACATAATGAAACTAAAATATTAATAAAAGCAACAAATTTTTTTTTTTCAATACTTTCTCCTCCAGATTTATTTTCTTAATCATGATTTATTCTTATATTATAAGGTATAATAGTATTGGTACTTTAGGTGCAAAATATTTAGGCGCAGCTATATCGTAATGCAAGAACATCACAAGCTTTGCATTTTATTTGAGGTAAATAATTAATTTATTGATAAATAAAGAAAGAAATATCAAAAACTGATTATTTTGTTGATATATGTTTTTCATTTAGTGATTAGATAATTATAATAAATTTGTTTACTTACTCCTACAAAAACAAACTAAAATACTAAAAAAAGCAGCAATCTTTTTTTACAATCCATTCTCCTCCTAATTTATTTTATTTATTTTTATATTTAAAGCAAAAATATTATTCATGCATAGGGTACAAAATATTTAAGTACAGCAATAGAGAAGTGCAAGAAAATCACAAGTTTGACACTAAATTTAAAGTAAAAACTTAATATAACGATTGATAAAGCAAGAAACATTAATAAAATTGATTATTTTGTTTATTTAAGTTTTTTACTTAGGGATAAGCTAATTAAATCACTCCTTTAGCTAGTTAGTTAGTTATTTTTTTTATTAGATTGCTTATTTACATACATAAATATTTATTTATCTACTTACTTACTACTCAACGAAAAAATGATCTATTTGTTTTTGTTTACTTATTCCTTCAAAAATAAACTAAAATACTAACAAAAGCAGCAAAATTGTTTTAAAATCCTTTCTCCTCCAAATTTATTTTCTTAATTTAATATTTATTCATTTATTTAAAGTGATAATGGTATTGCTACATAGGGTGCAAAATATTTAGCGAAGTCATTAGCGTAGTGCAAGAATATTACAAGTTTGGAACTTTATTTAAGGTAAAAACTTAATTTATTGATTAATAAAGCAAGTAAATATCAAAAAATTGATTATTTTATTGATTTCTGCTTTTAATTTATTTTTTTAACAAATTTAGTCATTTCTTTAGTTAGCTATCTATTTTTTAATTAAATTGCTTATTTATATACTTATTTATAACTCAAATAAAAAATAATCAATTTGTTTACCTAATTTTTAAAGAATTAACAAAAAAATCAGCAATCTTTTTTTACAATCCTTTCTCATCCAAACTTATATTCTTATTAATACATTATTTATTATAATATTTAAAGCGATAATGCTATTGCTACATAGGGTGCATAATATATAGTCAAATCAATAGCATAGTGCAAGAATATTACAAGTTTGGCATTTTACTTAAGGTAAAAATTAACTTATTCATAAATAAATAAAGAAATAAAGAAAAAATGTATTATTTTGTTGAAAAACTTTTTTCATTTAGTGATTAGCTAATTAACACACTTAATTAGTTAGTTATTTATTAATTTTTTTATAAGATTGCTTATTTATATAAATACTTATTTACGTATTTATTTATTTTACTAAAAAATAATACATTTGTTTACTTATCCTTCAAAAGCAAACTAAAATACTAACAAAAGCAGCAATCTTTTTTTAAATCTTTTGTTCTTCAAATTTATTTTATTAATTTATTATTTATTCTTATATTTCAAGGACACATAGTATTTGTCATGATTGTGCAAAAGATTTAGGCAAAGCAATAACGTAGTGCAAGAATATCACAAGATTGGCACTTAATCTATAGTAAAAACTATAAAAACAAGAAAAAAAGAAAAATTTGATTATTTTGTTGATTTAAACTTTTCACTTAGTGATTAGTTAACAATCACTTCATTAGTTATTTATTTATATTTTATTAGATTGCTTTTTTACATATTTATTTGCTTACTTACTTAAAACTAAACTAAAAATAATCAATTTGTTTAGTTACTCTTTCAAAAACTAAAAAAATTGGAAATCTATTTTTCCTATCCTTTCTTCTCCAAATTTATTTCTTAATTCATTATTTATTCTTATATTGAAATATGTAATAGTATTGGGGCATAGGGTGCAAAAGAATTAGGAACAGCAATAGCATAATGCATGAATATCACAAGTTTGACACTTTATTTATAGTAAAAAATTAATTTATTGATTGACAAAGCAAGAAGTATAGAAAAAATGTATTATTATATTGAATTATGCTTTTCACTTAGTGATTAGCTAATTAAGTTTCTTCTTTAGTTAGTTAGTTAGTTAGTTAGTTAGTTAGTTATTTATCTATTTTTTTATTAGATTGCTTATTTACTTACTACTCAACTAAAAAATAATAAATTTGTAATCATACTCCTTCACAAAAACAAACTATAATATTAACAAAGGAAGCAATATTTTTTTTACAATCCTTTCCCCTACAAATTTATTTTCTTAATTCTTTATTTATTCTTGTATTTAAAGTAATAATAGTATTGATGATGAGAGTGCAAAAAGTTTAGGTACAGCAATAGCATAGTGCAAGAATATCAAAATTTTGGAACTTAATTTATAGTAAAAATTTAATTTATTTATTTATAAAGCAAAAAAAATAGAAAAAATTGATATTTTTTTGATTTACAATTTTCACTTAGTGATTAGCTAATTTATTTACTTATTTATTTTTTATTAGATTGCCTATTTACATACATACACTCTTATTTACTTACTTATTACTCAACTAAAAAATAGTCAATTTTTTTACTTACTCCTTCAAAAACAAACTAAAATACTAACAAACTCAGCAATAATTCTTTACAATCCTTTCTTCTTTAAATTAATTTTCTTAATTCATTATTTATTCTTATATTTAAAGATATAATAGTATTGGTGATTAGGGTGCAAAAGATTTAGGCATAGCAATAGCATAGTGCGACAATGTCATGAAATTGATAATTGATTTATGGTAAAAATTTTATTTGTTGATTTATAAGGCAAGAAATATAGAAAAAGTTGATTATTTTTTTGATTTATGTTTTCGCAAATAGATTAGCTAATTAAGTTACTTTATTAATTAGCTAATTAGTTATTTAATTATTTTTTATGTAATTGCTTATTTACATACATACTTATTTACTTATTTATTACTCAAGTAAAAAAAAATAATCAATTTGTTTACTTACTCCATCAAAGTATAACAAATACAAAAATATTTTTTTTACAATTCTTTCTCCTCCAAACTCATTTTCTTAATTCATTATTTATTCTTATATTTAAAGCAATAATAGTATTGATGATGAGGGTGCAAAAGATTTATGTACAGAAATTGCATAGTGCAAGAACATCACAAGTTTGGTACTTTATTTAGAGTAAAATTATTATTTTTTGTTTAATTTAGCAATTTTAATTACAAAAAAATATAAAATAATAATTTTAATATCCAAAAAAGGAATTTAATAAATATATTTCAAACAAATAATTTGATAAATATACATTTTATATAAATAGAAACAATAAGATTTTTCAATCAAAACCATAAGAATAAATAGAAAAATTCAATAAAGAAATACCCGTAAAATTAATAAAAGTATAAAATAATTTAAATATTATATTTTTTAATAAGATTATGATATATTTCTGAAGGATTTCAATATAATAATCAAATTATGATTAAAATAGAAATAATATATATTTAATAATTTTAAAATAAAAACATATATTTTTAAAACGTATAAATTATATGTATCTTTTTAGTAAAATTATTTAATGTAATATTAAATATGATAAAACACCATAATTAAAATAAGTAAAATTCAATATAAATAATAATAAAAATTTATAAATATGAGTATTTATTGATAAAATCACATAGTAATTATTATATTAAAATATATACATATTTATTAATTTTATTAATTGACATAATAAAAAGTACAATATAATTTGGCATATATCAACATATTAAAATTTACTTAAATTCAAAAAAAAATTTTTTACTTGTTATTTATTTATTTTTTATCAGCATTCAGATATTTGAATTAATTACTAATTTGTAAATTTTTACATTTTTGAATTTTAATCAATATGTTTTAAAATAGAATTTCAGATTTCATTTAAATATAAATCATTTGGATTAATAGATTTGATTAATTAATAATAAATAAATTAATTAATATTTTTAGAAAACACAGTAAAGGATAGTGTAACAAAATTTTTAGAAGAAATATATCTTTTCAAGACAGCAAGAAATTTAAAGAAAGTAAACTGAGTAATTCAACAAATAACTTACAGGTAAACTCTAAGCTTCAAGCTTAATAAAAACTTTTTTAGAAGCACTTTAATCTATTAATAATAAAACAAAATGAATGCACCTAGAGAAAATGGTTATGATAGTAGTAAATAATTTAAAGACAGTGAAAGAAAGCCTTATTGATGATATCCTAGACTGGTAGAATATAAAACTCTATAAAATTATATATAATATATTAGACATCAGATTAAATATTTATAAACTTATAATCTTGTAAGCCCTGTTATATTAGCTAACTCAAAGAAGATTTCCTCACTGATCATTTCAATAGAGTATCTAAATTAGGTTTAAGATATAAGAAGTTGAGTTTCTCTCAGATACCAATCTATGAATCTAATTTTTCCATTTCCATCGTGCAAATTAAAATAGTATATTATATTTATGTAATTGGTTATTATATAACAACCAAAGGGTACTACTATTATAACCGTCAATGCTATTAAACTTAAATATAAGTTGCATGAAATATATTTTTGAAACTGTCATATAACTGTAATCTACTAATATTTAAGAATTTATTGCAGCTGTAAATATATATATTCCTTTGTCTTCTATATCAAAAGATTTAACAACTATAGATAAAAGTTATGTCTTGTGTAATCTTAAAACTCAAAATTATATCGACTCAGAAAGTGGAAAACTAAATTTGTTATCTTGTTTTACAAGATATATAAGTTAATTAATGATTAGAGATAATAATTATTTTTATCATTGGTCGGATACAAATGCATCCATACAATTTTAATGAGGTAGTAGTACATAATTCAGAGCTTCGGGTTGTTGCCGAATTCATTTTAATAATCAATATTTTAACTTTAAATAATTATTCATAGATTGGAGGTGTCTCGTAGCACATATTTGTGCACATTTAAATCTAATTAGAATACAGGAGTAATGCTTACAGCTATAAATTCATCTAATTAGTTGTTGTTTTTTACAATTAGAATAAAAATATTATTAAAAAGAAAAACTATCAAAATTAATTAGATTTTATTAATGGAATCATATTTAATTTCTTAAAATATTTTTTATTTTTTAGCTATTTGTGAAACTTTACAAACATAGAACCAATTTATTTTATCAATTAATCAATGTTATCAAATTTAACCTATTAAGTAACTGACTGTTAGTTTTTAAAATTATTATTATTTTTTATTTAAAAATAATGACAAAATAATATATGAAATAAATGCTATTTAGTAGATTATGTATTAGATTATTTAACCTTGATAGCCAATTAGTTTCAAATATTGGTATTTAAATCAAATTTTTAAAACAAGCAACTTTTTACTAAATTTAATTATTAAATTTTATATAAATTTTTTATTTAATCTAAATTTTTAAAAACTCAAAAATAAAATGTATTAACTATTTTTTTTAATTTATATTCTTCTGACCTCTCAAAACTTAAATTAAATAACACATTCTATATTGAAATTTCATGCAAATTGAACTAGCAAATAGCACAGTGGGTTTGCATTTAACCAAAATAAATAATTCTATAAAATAATTATTTATTTACGAGTTTGTAAAATATTAATTAAAATTGCAATTTATTAAGGTATAAATCAAATTTTTGTAATATAAGTTGAAATTTAAATTTCATAAAAACTTTGAAATATTAGGGCTTTGCCAAAATTTTATTTATTTTTTGAAATTTTTTGTTTAGGATATAATAAAAATTATTTTAATTTGCATTAGATAGCGATTCTATTATATAAATAAAATAGATAATATTATAATAAAAATTAATTTTAACCATTATCAATTAGCTTTTAATAAAAAAGATATTAGTATATTTGTAGATTAGTGAATAGGCACTTTGATTAATTAAATATCCTTAAAGATCTTTAGTGTTTTTTCTTTTGTATATATATTTAATTAAAATCATAAAAGATACAGTAAAAATGTCAAAATGAGTATTATTTAAAAATTGACAAAATATTTTATCCCGACATTAACTTTTGCATAACAAAATTTATTTATTTGTTAGATACATTTATATTTTAGGTAATTTTTTGGGTCTTTATGTGTACGTTCTATTTAATATTAAATTTATCATAATTATTAAGTAATAGAGTTTATTTTATACATATATGTGTCAATCTATTTTTGCATTAGAAAAAGATTATTTTTGTTAAAATTGCTTAATATCTTATCCTTTAATAATGTACTAAAAATAGAAAATTTGTTGATATATTTAAAAATTAATTAATATTTCTTCTTGATTTTTAATCAATTTTTAATGATAAGTGAATTTTTCTTATTTCTTTTAATTATTAAGGTGTTCTTCCTCTTTATCAAAATAAAGAAGTGATTTTAGTATATATAAATTTTACATCACAAAAAAGCATCTGTTTTTAATAAAAAAGCAAACCCCTCAACCTACTTTAAGTAAGTCAGTACTCCAATTAGCAACCCCAGTCGCATAGCGAAAGTGAATAGCAAAATGTCTATGAAAGCTCAAAAAGAATTAGTCGAAATTATCTCAAACAAAATATTAAAAGAATGTTAAATTTAAAGGCCATCTATTAAGGAATTGGTCAAGTTGATCTTCAGCTAGAAAAAATACTTCTAAAAATACGAGTATCTAAGCAGTGGTGCTTATTCCCTTGTTTTAAAGGCTTATAATTCTAAACAAAAACGCTAAGTTGCTCTCAAATTTTTAGGGAGCTCAAACTAAGAGGAAAATGATGGCATTGAATCTTTGAAAAAAGAGTATGAAATGCTTCAAAAGTTTAGCCAATCATAATTTTTAGTAAATGTTTATGATTGCTTTTATTTAATGGAAGAACAAGATGATGAAGATGAAGATGGAAACGATATAATTGTTTAAACTGGAGTCAAATCCTTCTTTGTCATGGAAATGGAGCTTTGTGAGAGTAATATATTTTTCATCCATTTTTTTTTTCTTTCATTTTTTTTAAACATTTGAAAATACAAAAAATAAGATATTTTTACACTTTTTATTTACTTGACGTGGCTTACGCATCATCCTTTTAAAAATAGGTAATATAATTTTTTTTCTAAATCTTTTTTGATTTTGATAGGTTAATTAAAAAAAATTAGATTTGCACTAAATTGATTTAATTAATTTAGAAATTGAAATAGAAATTTTATTATTTAATGTAATAATACTAATTTTAATTAATTTTTTAGGATTCCTCATAATTAAGATTTTTTAATTAATATTAATTTTATCTAAAATATTAATTAAACTTAATAAAATATATAACTAATTAAAATTTATTTTTACTCTTAATTTTTTATAATTGGGTCTTTAAATCATCAATAATTTTCTTCAAATCATAATAATTAATTATTTAATTAAATATATCTGTCTAAACCATTTACTCTAGAATTAATAAATTTTGAAAATTTAATATAAATATTAACAACTCCTTTTACGACAATAACTAAAAAAAAATTCACAAAAATAAGTAAATAATAAAAATAAAAAATTTAGAAAAAAACTATTTGAATTAAATTTAAAATAATTTTGAAATTAATGAATTTAAATTTTATTTTCTTTTTTAAATAATAATTTTAAATTATCATTTTAAAAAAATAAAATTATCTAAATTTCTTTTAATTAATTAACAATTATCATGCCTTTTAAAAATTAAAAAAGGAACTTAACTCTTTTTATATTCTAAAATAAATAAAAAATAATCTTTTACTTATAAAATAGGTTGAAAACAAATATTCAAAATAAATTTAATTCAACTCTGTAAATACTAAATAAATGAATAAATTAAATTTTAAAATAATTATTTTTTCTTAAAAGATAAAACCTAAAATTTTCTCTAAGCTTTTTAAAGAAATAAATGCTAAAATTAAAAATTCTAAGACTTATAAACAAAAATTTGTTGAATTATAATTTGAAAATACTAATCATAATTAATTCAATTTTTTAATTAACTAGAAAATCTCAAATAGCTCTTTGATATCCTCAGAAAAGAATAAGTTCCACCTTCGAAAGAGTTGAAGGAAATAATAGCCATTCAAATGATAGAAGGGCTGAATAATCTTCACGTAAAAAATATTATGCATAGGGATATCAAACCTTAAAATTTCCTTGTTTGTACTTCTTAAGAGTATGGTTTCTAAATCAAACTTTGTATTAATGATTATTATAATTTTTTAATTTTTAATAAATATCTTTTATAATAAGGTGATCTAGGCTTTGCATCAGCTGTTTCTAAATCTAAAAGCTTTGTGTCTAAGGTTAAAAAATTAATTATTATTTTAATAAATTTCAATATTTTTTATAACTTTCAGAAAGGAACTGATTCATATTTTGCTCCTGAAGTGGAAGAAGGATAATCTAGAATTCAGGTTTTTAATAAAAATATTGTATAAATTTTTGAAGTTTATTTTAATTACATAGTCAGACCTCTTTTCACTGGGTCTCGTTTTATTAGAGCTAGACAATTTCAATACTCTAAATAAAAATTGGATAGATACCAAAATAAGGTATTATCTATTCAATGGAGAAAAGATACCTGAAGAAAAATATTAGATAGATAAGAATTCTAATATCTACAAAATAGCTTAAATATGCTTAAAGCCTAAGTATTTAGACAGGACTACAGCAGGAGAATTACTATCTTAAATCATCTAAATGCATGGTTAACCATTGAAATTTATATTGACTTCTATGATAATTGAGGTGATATATTAATTATTTCATAATTAATTTAAAAATACTCTAGAAGTATTCAAATATATTAAATTTCAATTTTTCCCAAAAATAATTAAATTGTAAATCTTAAAAAAGCATTTCAAAGCAAAATAATTAATTGTCTCTAACAAATTGAATCAAATAAAAATATTATTATGAGAATAATAAAAAAGAAAACTTATTTTTCTTAAAATTTTTTACATTTAAATGTTAAACACTTCATCTAAAATTATCAAATAAAAATTATGTAAATATATTTTAAAACATATTATTTATTTTTATTTTTGATTTAAATTTTAGTTTTTCTTAGCAAGTTAATAAAATAACTAAAATTGATTTTATTTTATTTGAAATATTCGAATTCAATAAATAATTTTATAACAAAAGGAATAAATACCTAAATAGGCACAGTAAATATTTGATAGAATTAATCAACAATAAAAAGATATGGTAAAAATTATTTTTAATTTAAATTTTTACAATTAATACAAATTAATGAAAATTATATGATAATTAATTTTAAAGCATAATTAATTTGACCAGCAAGCTTAGTAGATTCTTGATAACACCAAATCGAAAATTAAACAAAAAGATTTTCAAGCACAATTTACAAAAGTGGAAGTATTGTCTAATCTACTGAAAAGTCTCTATGAGCATAAAAAATATTCCAATAACTTTCAAATTCTTAGCTTTGGAAACTTTGGAATGGTATTAGCTACTAAAAAAGCCAAGCTTGACAACAAAGAAATAGTGCTAAAAATACAAAAAATAGAAGATGAATAACTAATCTAAAATGAAATTAGTATTATGTAGAAATTAAAAGAACCACTAGTGGTATAACTTTATGATAGCTATATAATAGAAAATAAGTTAGTACATGATAGATACTCAGTCTTTGAATTAGAAAAATGTTCATGTAATTTATTAAATTTTTAGTTTTAATTAAGTTTCAATTAAATAATTAAAACAACATTTTTGTCATATAAAAGGCCAATTTTAAGTAAATAAACAAATTAATCTATTAATATATTTTAAATAAAAAAGTATTTAATTCTTTTTTTAAATTTTTAAATTATTAAAAAATAAAAAATTTAATTTATAAATTTAAAAAATAATTTTTATACTTTCGTTATTGATTGCTCAATTAATTAATTTAGAAACATTCATTTATATAAAAATAACTTAAACAAAAAAATATTTAATTACATATTACCATTTATTTTATAAAAGGTTCATTAGATGAATATCTTGAAAGATAAAACAAAGAAGGATAATTAAATGAAGAAAACAAATTTTAAATGGCTATCTAAATTATAGATTCTGTCAATTATATTCATTAATTTAATATAATTCATAGGGATATTAAACCAGAAAATTTTTTGGTTTATTTAGATGGAAAATAAGCCAAAATAAAATTATGTAAATTATTTTTATTCATCATATATATTTGATTATCTTTTGAATTAAAGGTGATTTTGGCTTATCTGCTTAGATTCCAGATAATCAAGATTCAATTCAAACTATAGAAGTAGATTTTTTAATTATATATATTTAAACTAAATTTTAAAAATAATTTTATAGCGCATAGGAAATTTTGGTTATTCAGCACCTGAAATATTAAATAAAAATGATAATGAACTTAAGTTTTATACAAAGAAAGTACTTTTTTATAAAAAAAAATATTAACTTTTAAATTATTTTTTTATTTTAGTCTGATTCATATTCAGTAGGGTTATTACTAGCTTTGTTAGATAATTATTAAGATTTAAAGACAAATACTACTTCAATTTTCTCATTAATGACACAAAAGTAGTTAGATAAGCCTTTCGAAAAATCTAATATTTAAATTAACAAAAATTCAGAAATTTATAAATTTATTAACCTTCTTGTTGTTTCTGATAGTGATTAAAGGGCATCTCTTTATGATATAGTAAAATAAAGCGATGAAACATTCTTTTCGAATTCAAAAGAAATGAAATAAATCCTACAAAAAACTCTTTTGATGCAAAATCGGACTATACAAATTTATTCTCTAATGGATTTGAATAAAATTAAAAATTACAATATTGTAACGATAGATTTAGAGTAATTTTTTTTAATACTTTTAATATTTTAATGATCAATTTTATAATTTTTAAAATTATTTTATAGATAATAATTTCACTTTAATTATTATCTTATTAAAGCAAGTAAATTATTTATATATTTACTAGCTTAATTATTTAAAAAACATAAAATCTTTAAAAAGAGAAAAAAAAAAATTTTTGAAAATTTTTCTCTTTCAGCTCATTTTTTTCTTAAATAAAAAAAAATATGAATATAAATTATAAATTTTAAGTATTATGATTTTAATAATAAAATTTATGATTGAAGCAACTAAAAAAATAATTATTAAATTTAAAAATATTAAACAGTATAATTTATTAGGCAATATTTTTTTTATTTGAAAAGATTAAATTAGTTTTAAATTTCTTCATTGGTTGATTGAGACTTTCTTTTGATATTTAAATCTGCATAAAATTTTCTAATATTTTAGTATAAGTAGCTTTTTATAGTTTTAATTCATATTTTTCACTAGAATCTTAATTATTTCAATTTTAAACTTCAATCAAATATCAATTTTAATTCATTTTTATTTAAGCTTTGAACTTTAAAAGGAAAATTTTATTTGTAGATAAATCGTGATTCTATTATTATTGTTTTAGCTATTTTTTCTTTTCTTTAAATATTAAGATATTTTTTAATTTTTTAGTAGAGTTATTCAAAGCTCAAAGAATAAAATTTTTTAGGTTTTGATTTATTTACAGCAACATTGAATTGAAATTTTGTACAATTAATTAGGCAGAAGCCGAATATTTTCTAAATTCAATTTAATTATTTAAATATTGAAATTCTGCATTCGAATATCTTCAAAAAATATATATAAACATTAAAAATGAGTATATAATAATCAGCAATTTAAACAAGTTTATTTCTTGAAATTAAAAAAAGTTATAAATATTATAAATAAATAAATTTGACCATACTTTTGCTAAAAGAAAAAATTATTTTTTTTTAACTTTTATCTCTTAAAATTTTTATTTTAAATTTAAAATATTTAATTAACATTTAAAAATTGAGAAAAAAGAAAAAAATAGATTAATTAAGTCACTTCGTTAATTAGTTATTTTGTTATTAAATTGCTTACTTAATTACATACATAAATACTTATTTGCTTACATATTTACTACTCAGCTAAAAAATAATCAATTTGTTTACTTACTCCTTCAAAAACAAACTAAAATACTAACAAAGAGAGCATCCAAATTTATTTTTTTAATTCATTATTTATTCTTATATTTAAAGGGAAAATAGTATTCGTGATGCGGATGCAAAAGATTTAGCCACAGGAATAGCGTAGTGCAAGAATATCATAAGTTTGATGCTTCATTTATCGTAAAAACTTATTTTATTGTTAGATAAAAAGCAAAATTTATAGAAAAATTTGTTTATGCTGATTTACGCTTTTCACTTAGTGATTAGCTAATTAAGTCACTTCGTTAGTTAGTTAGTTAATTAGTTATTTAGTTATTAGATTGATTACTTACTTACATACATAAATACTTATTTGCTTACATACTTACTACTCAGCTAAAAAATAATCAATTTGTTTACTTACTCCTTCAAAAATAAACTAAAATACTAACAAAAGCAGCAATTTTTTTTATAATCCTTTCTCCTACAAATTTATTTTTATAATTCATTATTTATTCTTATATTTAAAGGCAAAATAGTATTGGTGCATAGGGTGCAAAAGATTTAGCCACAGGAATAGCGTAGTGCAAGAATATCACAAATTTGATGCTTGATTTATAGTAAAAACTTCATTTATTGATAGATAAAAAGCAAAATTTATAGAAAAATTTTTATATTTTGCTGATTTACACTTTTCACTTTATGATTAGCTAATTAAGTCACTTCTTTAGTTAGTTTTTTAGTTATTAGATTGCTTACTTAATTACATATATAAATACTTATTTACTTACATACTTACTACTCAGCTAAAAAGTAATCAATTTGTTTACTTACTCCTTCAAAAACAAACTAAAATACTAACAAAAGCAGCAATCTTTTTTACAATCCTTTCTCCTTCAAATTTATTTTTTAAATTCATTATTTATTCTTATATTTAAAGGGGAAATAGTATTGGTGCATAGGGTGCAAAATATTTAGCCACAGGAATATCATTGTGCAAGAATATAACAAATTTGACGCTTGATTTATAGTAAAAACTTGATTTATTGATAGATAAAAAGCAAAATTAATAGAAAAATTTGTTTATTTTACTGATTTACGCTTTTCACTTTTTGATTAGCTAATTAAGTCTTTTCTTTAGTTAGTTAATTAATTAGTTATTTAGCTATTAGATTGCTTATTTAATAACATATATAAATACTTATTTACTTACATACTTACTACTCAGCTAAAAAATAATCAATTTGTTTACTTATTCCTTCAAAAACAAACTAAAATACTAACAAAAGCAGCAATCTTTTTTTACAATCCTTTCACCTTCAAATTTATTTTTTTAATTCATTATTTATTCTTATATTTAAAGGGGAAATAGTATTGGTGATGTGGGTGCAAAACATTTATCCACAGTAATAGAGTAGTGCAAGAATATCACAAGTTTGACTCTTGATTTATGGTAAAAACTTCATTTGTTGATTGATAAAAAGCAAGATTTATAGAAAAATTTGTTTATTTTGTTGATTTACGCTTTTCACTTATTGATTAGCTAATTAAGTCTTTTCTTTAGTTAGTTAATTAATTAGTTATGTAGTTATTAGATTGTATAATTAATTACATACATAAATACTTATTTGCTTACATACTTACTACTCAGCTAAAAAATAATAAATTTGTTTACTTACTCCTTCAAAAACAAACTAAAAAATACTAAAAAAAGCAGCAATTTTTTTTACAATCCTTTTTCCTCCAAATTTATTTTTTTAATTCATTATTTATTCTTATATCTAAAGGGATAATAGTATTGGTGATAAGGGTGTAAAAGATTTAGCCACAGGAATAGCGTAGTGTGAGAATATCACAAGTTTGAAGCTTGATTTATCGTAAAAACTTCATTTATTGATAGATAAAAAGCAAAATTTATATAGCTATTTTCAGAAAATTATTTCTTGAGTCAGAAATATAAACTTAATAGAATAATAAATATTATTTAATATAATATTAAAAAAATTAAAATAAATAAAAAAAAGGTTTAGAAGCAGGTTTCGAACCAACCTGATAGAAGAAAAAAATCAAAAATGTTACTCAAACATTTAATTTTTTGATAAAGAAATTAAAATTTTTATTTCAAACATTTAATCTTGAATTAATTAATTTTTTTACATATAAAATGTATGAAAAAAAGGCTTAACTCTAAAAATTAAATGTTTGATTAAAAATTTATTTAGATTTCTTCATCAAAAAATTAAATCTTTGATTAAATATTTTTTATTTTTTTTGTTAGTTCAGGTTCGAAGCCTCTTTGGATGCCTTTTTTTATTATTTTAAATTTTCTTTAAATTTTTTAAATAATATTTATTATTCTACTAAATATTTATTTCCTACTATAGAAATAATTTTCAACAATAGAAAAATTTGTTTATTTTGATTATTTACGCTTTTTACTTAGTGATTAGCTAATTAAGTCACTTCGTTAGTTAGTTATTTAGTTATTAAACTGCTTACTTAATTACATACATAAATAATTATTTGCTTATATACTTACTACTCAGCTAAAAAATAATCAATTTGTTTACTTACTTCTTCAAAATCAAACTAAAATACTAACAAAAGCAGCAATCTTTTTTTACAATCCTTTCTCCTTCAAATTTATTTTTTTAATTCATTATTTATTCTAATATTTAAAGGTTTAATAGTATTGGTGCATAGGGTGCAAAAGATTTAGCCACAGGAATAGCGTAGTGCAAGAATATCACAAATTTGATGCTTGATTTATAGTAAAAACTTCATTTATTGATAGATAAAAATCAAAATTTATAGAAAATTTTTTTATTTTGCTAATTTACGCTTTTCACTTAATTATTAGCTAATTAAGTCAGTTAGTTATTTAGTTATTAGATTGCTTACTTAATTACATATATAAATACTTATTTGCTTACATACTTACTACTCATCTAAAAAAGAATCAATTTGTTTACTTATTCCTTCAAAAACAAACTAAAATACTAACAAAAGCAGCAATCTTTTGTTACAATCCTTTCTCCTCCAAATTTATTTTTTTAGTCATTATTTATTCTTATATTTAAAGGGGAAATAGTATTGGTGATGAGGGTGCAAAAGATTTAGCATTAGGAATAGAGTAGTGCAAGAATATCACAAGTTTGACGCTTGATTTATGGTAAAAACTTCCTTTATTGATTGATAAAAAACAAGATTTATAGAAAAATATATACATAAATACTTATTTGCTTACATACTTACTACTCAGCTAAAAAATAATTAATTTGTTTTCTTACTCCTTCAAAAACCAACTAAAATACTAGCAAAACAGCAATATTTTTTTACAATCCTTCTCCTCCAAATTTATTTTTTTAATTCGTTATTTATTCTTATATTTAAAGGCGAAATAGTATTGGTGATCAGGGTTCAAAAGATTTAGCCACAGGAATAGAATAGTGCAAGAATATCACATGTTTGACCCTTTATTTATAGTAAAAACTTCATTGTTTGATTGATAAAAAGCAAGATTTATAGAAAAATTAGTTTATTTTTCTGATTTACGCTTTTCACTAAGTGATAAGCTAATTAAGTTACTTAGTTAATTATTTATTTAGTTATTAGATTGCTTACTTAATTACATACATAAATACTTATTTGCTTACATACTTACTTTACTACTCAGCTAAAAAATAATCAATTTATTTACTTACTCCTTCAAAAACAAACTAAAATACTAACAAAAGCAGCAATTTTTAAAAAATCCTTTCACCTCTAAATTTATTTTTTAAATTTATTATTTATTCTTATTTTAAAGGCGAAATAGTATTTATGCATATGGTGTAAAATTTTTAGCCACAGCAATAGCATAGTGCAAGAATATCACAAGTTTGACGCTTCATTTATCGTAAAAACTTTATTTATTGATAGATAAAAAGCAAAATTAATAGAAAAATTTGTTTATTTTGCTTATTTACGCTTTTCACTTAGTGATTAGCTAATTAAATTACTTCGTTAGTTAGTTAATTAGTAAGTTATTTAGTTATTAAACTGCTTACTTAATTACATACATAAATACTTATTTGCTTACATACTTACTACTCAGCTAAAAAATAATCAATTTATTTACTTACTCTTTCAAAATCAAACTAAAATACTAACAAAAGCAGCAATCTTTTTTTACAATCCTTTCTCCTCGAAATTTATTTTTTTAATTCATTATTTATTCTTATATTTAAAGGCGAAATAGTATTGGTGATCAGGGTGCAAAATATTTAGACACAGGAATAGAGTAGTGCAAGAATATCACAAGTTTGATGCTTGATTTATCGTAAAAACTTCATTGTTTGATTGTTAAAAAGCAAGATTTATATAAAAATTTTTTTATTTTGCTTATTTACGCTTTTCACTTAGTGATAAGCTAATTAAGTTACTTAGTTAGTTAGTTATTTAGTTATTAGATTGCTTACTTAATTACATATATAAATACTTATTTGCTTTAATATTTAATACTCAGCTAAAAAATAATCAATCTGTTTCCTTAATCCTTCAAAAACAAACTAAAATACTAACAAAAGCAGCAATCTTTTTTTTACAATCCTTTCTCCTTCAAAAATATTTTTTTTTTAATTCATTATTCGTTCTTATATTTAAAGGGATAATAGTATTGATGCATAGGGTGCAAAAGATTTAGCCAAAGGAATATCGTAGTGCAAGAATATCACAAATTTGATGCTTGATTTATAGTAAAAATTTCATTTATTGATAGATAAAAAGCAAAATTTATAGAAAAATAAGTTTATTTTGCTGATTTACGCATTTCACTTAGTGATTAGTTAATTAAGTTACTTCTTTAGTTAGTTAATTAATTAGTTATTTAGTTATTAGATTGCTAATTAATTACATACATAAATACTTTTTGCTTACATACTTACTTTACTACTCAGCTAAAAAATAATCAATTTATTTACTTACTCCTTCAAAATCAAACTAAAATACTAACAAAGGCAGCAATCTTTTTTTACAATCCTTTCTCCTCCAAATTTACTTTTTTAATTTATTATTTATTCTTATATTTAAAGGCAAAATAGTATTGGTGATGAGGGTGCAAAAGATTTAGCCACAGGAATAGCGTAGAGCAAGAATATCACATGTTTGACACTTGATTTATGGTAAAAACTTCATTTATTGATTAATAAAAAAGCAAGATTTATAGAAAAAAATTTTTATTTTGCTGATTTACGCTTTTCACTTAGTGATTAGGTAATTAAGTCATTTTGTTAGTTAGTTAGTTAGTTAGTTAATTAATTAATTTGTTATTTAGTTATTAGATTACTTACTTAATTACATAAATAAATACTTATTTGCTTACATATTTAGTACTAAGCTAAAAAATAATCAATTTGTTTATTTACTCCTTCAAAATCAAACTAAAATACTAGCAAAAGCAGCAATATTTTTTATAATCCTTTCTCCTCCAAATTTATTTTTTTAATTCATTATTTATTCTTATATTTAAAGGCGAAATAGTATTGGTGATCAGGGTTCAAAATATTTAGCCACAGGAATAGAATAGTGCAAGAATATCACAAGTTTGACCCTTCATTTATAGTAAAAACTTCATTTACTGATAGATAAAAAGCAAGATTTATAGAAAAATTGGTTTATTTTGTAGATTTTCGCTTTTCATTTAGTAATTAGCTAATTTAGTCACTTCCTTAGTTAGTTAGTTAATTAATTAGTTATTTAGTTATTAGATTGCTTACTTAATTATATACATAAATACTTATTTGCTTACATACTTACTTTACTACTCAGCTAAAAAATAATCAAATTATTTACTTACTCCTTCAAAATCAAACTAAAATACTAACAAAAGCAGAAATCTTTTTTTACAATCCTTTCTCCTCCAAATTTATTTTTTTTAATTCATTATTTATTCTTATATTTAAAGGGGAAACAGTATTGGTGATGAGGGTGCAAAAGATTTAGCCACAGGAATAGCGTAGTGCAAGAATATCACAAATTTGACTCTTGATTTATCGTAAAAACTTCATTTATTTATAGATAAAAAACAAAATTTATAGAAAAATTAGTTTATTTTGATGATATATGCTTTTCACTTAGTGATTAGCTAATTAATTAATTCACTTCGTTAGTTAGTTAATTAATTAGTTATTTAGTTATTAGATTGCTTACTTAATTACATACATAAATACTTATTTACTTACATATTTAGTACTCAGCTAAATATTAATCAATTTGTTTACTTACTCCTTCAAAATCAAACTAAAATACTAGCAAAAGCAAACTTTTTTTACAATCCTTTCTCCTCCAAATTTATTTTTATAATTCATTATTTATTCTTATATTTAAAGGGGAAATAGTATTGGTGCATAGGGTGCAAAGGATTTAGCCACAGGAATATCGTAGCGCAAGAATATCACAAGTTTGACGCTTCATTTATAGTAAAAACTTCATTTATTGATTGATAAAAATTAAGATTATTATAAAAATTTGTTTATTTTGCTGATTTACGCATTTCACTTAGTGATTAGTTATTTAAGTCACTTCGTTAGTTTGTTAGTTAATTAGTTAGTTATTTAGTTATTAGATTGCTTACTTAAATATATACAGAAATACTTATTTGCTTACATACTTACTACTCAGCTAAAAAATAATTAATTTGTTTTCTTACTCCTTCAAAAACCAACTAAAATACTAGCAAAACAGCAATCTTTTTTTACAATCCTTTCTCCTCCAAATTTATTTTTTTAATTCGTTATTTATTCTTATATTTAAAGGCGAAATAGTATTGGTGATGAGGGTGCAAAAGATTTAGCCACAACAATAGTGTAGTGCAAGAATATCACAAGTTTGACGCTTGATTTATTGTAAAAACTTCATTTATTGATTGATAAAATTTAAGATTTATAGAAAAATTTGTTTATTTTGCTGATTTACGCTTTTCATTTAGTGATTAGCTAATTAAGTTACTTCAATAGTTAGTTAATTAGTTAGTTATTTATTTATTTATTAGATTGCTAACTTAATTACATACATAAATACTTATTTGCTTACATATTTACTACTCAGCTAAAAAATAATCAATTTGTTTACTTTCTCCTTCAAAAACAAACTAAAATACTAACAAAAGCAGCAATCTTTTTTTACAATCCTTTCTCCTCCAAATTTATTTTTTTAATTCATTATTTCTTATATTTAAAGGTTAAATAATATTGATGCATAAAATATAAAAAATTTAAGGACAGCAATAGCATTGTGCGAGAATATCACAAGTTTGAAGCTTCATTTATGGTAAAAACTCAATTTATTTATTGATAAAAAGCAAGAAATTAGTAAAAATGGATCATTTTGTAGATTTACACTTTTCACTTAGTGATTAGATAAATAATAATTTTAATATCAAAAAAATGAATTTAATAAATATATTACAAAACAAATCCTTCGATAAATATACATTTAATATATTATAACTAATAGAAAAAATCGGACATTTCAATCGAAACTATAAGAATTAGAATTATAATTAAAAGATTAATTAAAAAAATAAGTAATTTAAGTAAAATGAATAAAACTATAAAATAATTTAAATATTTATATTTATTAATTAGATTTACATTTTGCATTTCCTGGTTTTAAAATTCTACTGATTAGATACATATATGTAATCAGCGATATTCGTATGAATATTTATATATAAATGACTAAATGGTAGTTTATATATTTTTTTTTTCTTTTTTAAATCATAATTTATCTGACAGATATAGCTTTATTTAAAAATCAAGCAGAGTATTTTAATTTTGTAAAACACACTTAAACCAAATTTATATGAAATTCAAAGCTGGTTAATTTATGAGAAACTATAATAAATTATATTTATAAATAAATAAATAACTTTATGAAATTAGCTAAAAATTAAAATAATAAATTATATTTTACTCTTTTTTTATATTATAAATTTTTTTTTAATACAAGGATTTCTATGAAAAATAAAATCTAAAATCATAAATGAATAAGTACATATTGAAAATAAGAATTAGAATTAAAGATTCATAATCCGTATTTAGCAAATTTTACAAGTCTCTTCATTTTCCAAATTATCTTTAAGACATCATTCGTATATTACGCTTAAATTTAAAAAAATATAAGAACATCACTATTGAGTATTCACAATTATTATAAATAATATAAATAAGAATCTTGAATTTTTTACATATTATCTAATTTAAGAAAAGTAACTCTTTGACAGCTCTTCAAATAACCTAGAAATCCTTAGAATATTAAACTTATTATAATTAAATTTTAATTTAAAATAAGAAAGAAAATCAAATTTATTATTATCATTTAAATTAAATTAATTTTTTAATTAATAAATTAAATAAATTTATTTTTACTCATGATCTTTTATACTCAGAGTTGAGAGGTTAGTTAATTGCATTAAGGCATATCCTAAATGTATTATGCTATTTTTATGCATATGATTATTTCTTTTTTTAGTGAAAAAGAATTAACTTAAAAATTCCTTTAACATATTCAACAAATATTAAAAATTTAAACTACAGAAAATTAAATAAATAAATAAAGAGCTATTAGGAAAAGATAATTTATACCCTGAAATAAGTGTATTTTTGTATTTAGCCAAAGAAATATAAAGATCTTTAACTTCATTATTTTCAAGATTATTATTGCTATAGAAGTTTTTAAAAAAATATAATAAAATATCTAAAGAATACATTATTAATAAATAATGTATCCAAACAAAATAATTAAAGCTAATAACCAAATTTATTATATTAATAAGAAGAAAATAAAAATAAAATATTTTAATTAATTAATTATATTGGAATATCTTTTTTATTTTGAAATTGCAGAGAATAATAAATTAAAAAAGTTATTTATTTTAATTAGAAATTAAGCTAAATATTAAATAAATGGATGAATCAATTTTTATTAAATATAACAATTTTTAATACTTAAAACTTCTAATAAATCTAAATTAAAAATTAAATAAGAAAAGTTAAATGAAAATATTTTTAGAATAATAAATATTATTTAATATAATATTAAAAAAATTAAAATAAATAAAAAAAAGGTTTTGAAACAGGTTTCGAACCTGATAGAATTTTTTTATTATTTGATTGAATGGAAAATTCTCATATTTGGTCTATATTTAATTACAATAAATAATTATATAAAAATCAGTGATTAATAGAACAAAATTGCATAATTTAAAGACTTCTTATAAACTATATATATTTTATTAATATAAAGCAAAATGATCATGCCTAAAAAATTAGCGCTTAGTTCTTAGAATAATTTAGCATATAAAATATTTAGTTAAGAGTTAAAAAATGACTTTAAAAGTATTTAAATTATTTTTAAATTAAATAATATTAAATTATTTTATAAAATAAATAAAAGATTTCATCCAAAATTTGTTTTAGCTTTTAAAATAAAATTCATTTATCATAAATAGTAAAATAAGCAGAATTATTTATTATTTTATAATAACAATAATTTTAATTTGAAATTTTTTGTTTAGGATATAATAAAAAATATTTTATTTGTATTAAGTAGCGATTCTACTATATAAATTAAATAGACAATATTATTATAAATATCAATTTAATCATTATCAATTAGTTTTTAATAAAAAAGATATTAGTATATTTGTAGATTAGTGAATAGGCACTTTGATTAATTCAAAAGATATTCTGATTATCTTTTAAAATAATCAAAATATCCTTAAAGATCTTTAGTCTTTTTTGCTTTCTACCTATATTTAATTAATATCACAAAACTTACAGTAAAACTGTCAAGCTGTGCGAGAGTTAAAAATTGACAAAAGATTTGATCCCAACTCTAACTTTTGTAAAAAAAAATCTATCTATAAACTATAAACTAGAAACATTTATATTTTGGGTAAATTGTTTGGTTATGTATGTGCGCAGTCTAAATTTAAAATTATTATTCATTAATAAAGTTTATATTATACTAATATGTGTCTATCTATTTTAAATTAGAAAAAAGATACATACTTTATAAAATAAATATTATAAATATAAAAGAATTTTGTTAAAATTGATTTGTATCTAAAAATAGAAAAGTTGTTAGTGTATTTGAAAATTAATTAATATTTCTTCTTGATTTTTAATCAATTTTTACTGATAAGCAAGTTTTTCTTATTTCTTGTAACTATTAAGGTTTCCTTTATATACTAAAAAAGAAGGGACTTCTGCATATATAAATTTTACATCACAAAAAACATCTGTTTTTAATAAAAAAGCAAACCCCTCAGCCTACTTTAAGTAAGTCAGTACTCCAATTAGCAACCCCAGTCGCATAGCGAAAATGAATAGCAAAATGTCTAAGAAAGTTCAAAAAGAATTATTTGAAACTATCTCAAACAAAATCTTCTAAGATTGTTTAATTTAAAGGCCATCAATTAAGGAATTGGTCAAGTTGATGTTCAGCCAGAAAAAATACTTCTAAAATTTCGAGTATTTAAGCAGTGGCGCTTATTCTCTTGTCTTAAAGGCTTACAATTCTTAGCAAAATCGCCAAGTTGCTCTCAAATTTTTAGGGAGCTCAAACAAAGAGTATAATAATGGCATTGAATCTTTGAAAAAAGAGTATGAAATGCTTCAAAAGTTTAGCCAATCATAATTTTTAGTAAATGTCTATGATTGCTTTTATTTAATGGAAGAACAAGAAGATGAAGATGAAGATGGAAACGATATAATTGTTTAAACTGGAGTCAAATCCTTCTTTGTCATGGAAATGGAGCTTTGTGAGAGTAAACAAAAATCACATTTTTTCATCCATTTTTTTTTTCTTTCATATTTTTTAAACATGTGAAAATACATAAAATAAGATATTTTTACACTTTTTATTAACTTGACATAGCTTACGCATCATCCTTTTAAAAATAGGTAATTTAA